AAAAAAAAAAAAAAGAAAACCGAGATTTGCTCTCAAAATAAGTCTTTATAAATAATTCATTATAAGTACTCATTATGCTCTTATAATGTAAAACATTTAGGAACTTGTGAATTCTGGAAAGTTTTTACCATTTTACCTGTTTCGCCTTAATGTATCCTAAATTCTCTTTCGAGAATTCTACTAATGTTTTTAGTCCCTCAGTCCATTATGGATGGAACAATTTCTACTTCTTTTTCTTCTTCTGTTGTTGCTCCTCCATAGAGCTGTGACCTGTGCTGGTGCTGTTGCTACTGGAAAAGCAGGAATGTTGTGGAGGAGGCTCAATGATGAAATCCAAGAGTTTTCATCAGTGTCACTGTCTTCTGAGGAGGATGAGGTAGACGTCTCTTCACTCTTTAATTAAGAATCACTGGCTGAACTATCATTGCTACTATGGGTAGGGAACTTGAGGCCTTCTGATTAGACTGGCTCCATCTTTCTCTGCTGCCTCCTTTTAATAAAAGGATTTGTTCCACAAAATTTGGATTCAGTCAAAAGGTCGTACTTAAGCACCTAGAAGGCCATCTCTCTCCTTAAGGCTGCAGGGTTTTTTGCTTCTGAAGCTTTTTCTAGTTCTGTTGTTGTTAAAGGCCTATTTTCTTTTCCCTAGGTATTTATAAGTCCAATATTCAAATGCCAGGCATTTCTGACATCCGACATGACACTTACTTACTTCATCTGGTCTCTGGTCTATGAGCCAGGGAATGGAATGTGCCATCTTAGTGCTGCTGAGGCCTGCAGAGCTAGGTTTTGGGAAACTCCTTAGAGCAGCAGTTTTCAACCTGTGGGTCGCAACCCCTTTGGACTGTATTAAAGTTTTGTTGCATTAGGAAGGTTGAGAACCACTGCCTTAGAGGGAGTGGTAACTTCGAACCCTCTCTGGAAGAATTTTTTAAACTTTTGCTTAAAACTGTCTCTAGGTGGAAAAAGAGATGGATGGGAATCAAGTTGATTCAGCAACAGAATTCTGGCTCTGAAACATAAACAACTAGAAGAATCTGTAAGAATCTTGGAGAACAGGATTCTTGCTAATTACATTATCCAGAGATCTAGAAGATTTCAGACAAGATGTTCTTTTATTTATTTATTTTTTTGTGAGAAAGGGTCTCACTTCATTGTCTGGGCTAGAGTATGGTGGTGTCATTATAGCTCACTGTAGCTTTAAGCTCCTGGCTCAACCAATCCTCCTGTCTCAGCCTCCCTACTAGGCAGGACAACAGCAGGCACACACTACCACGCCTGGCTAATTTTAAAATGTTTTGTAGAGACAGGGTCTTGTTATGTTGCTCAGGCTGGTCTTGAATTCCTGGCCTCAAGTGATCCTCCCACCTTGGCCTCCCAAAGTGCTAGTATTACAAGGATGTGCCACAGTACCTGTACTGAGAGAGGAAATATTCCGACAGGAAGCAAAGCTTTGATAAAACCATGAAGATGGCAAACAACAGTGCATTCTATCTCAATTTCCTCAAAGACTTTTGCTTTTTTGATAGTAATCTCTTTCATTTAATGTTGTCACATTAGCTTATTTTTAGTATTCTGATGGCAGGCTGCCAATTATCAGAATTATAGAATGTATATTTCAAGAAAGGATCAAACTAGACTTGCAGTCTGAAAAACCACTGGGCTACAGAAGTTTCAACTTTTACCAAATTTAATTCTGTTTTCTCCACATACTCCATAGTTCTTTGTGGTACTCTTAGTTATCAATTTGTACTGCTGAAAAAATCTGCTAGAAGAAAATTCTGTCCTCTTATCCCCCCTAGACTCACGAGACAGAGGAAAATAAAGTACCTTAAATCTTTATTAGAGAATGATTTATAATAGGTCTGCTGAATTTCCTTTAAGCCATGGATATGGCAACCTTTTAGTTCCTTCCATGGTTAGACTGAAACAAGTAACTGCCTCTTCCCCAAAGGTAAGAATACATTGTATAAAAGCCAGGAAATGATTAAGGCTTCTGAAGTATTTTTTTAAAATCATCTCTTTTGTGTCAAGTATCACATACATAACTCTAAGAACTAACCAAGTCATTTCCTCTTTAGCAAAACCTTATAGAAATAAATAAGACTAATGTCAAGGAAAGGATGTAGAATATACTAATCCTGATCCATACTGACTTGTAGAAAAGTGTCTGCATTAAAAAACAACTAACCCACGAAATATACAATGTTGCTATTTTAAATGAGCAAGAAGTACGTTTAAGATTCACGTTTTGAACTATTGCACATTGTATTTATATCAAAGGTATCAAAAGAAAATGTTTCAAATGTCCCACTCACCTTAGTGATTTTTAGGAATTTTGAGGGATCCAGTACTCGACTATTTTTGGCTCCTTGTACAGTGTTCCACCCACTTTCGTCCACTCTCTGGACGCCTTCAGGAAGAATAAGAATAGAGTGAGCCAGTATTTCATTTGTTTCAAGTGAGTCTGACAGTGCAAGTATAAGCAGTATTTTCAACTCATTCACTTCAATCAAAACCAAAGGAAAAGAAAAAAGAAGCCATTGAAACACTGCCAACAGTTTCTGACAATATCCACAGCATAAGCCAGAGTCTGTCACTTTTCTATTCAAAACACTTCTCATATCTCAGAGAGAAAGACAAGTTTCATTACAAATGGCCTACCAAGCTTTAAATAATCTGGCCCCTGTTGCCTCTCAGCCCTATCTTCCAGCCCTCTCCCCTACTCATGCCCACAGCTTCAGTCACACTGACCAATTTGCTGTTCTTTGCCTAAAACTTTTTACCAGATAGCCACATGATTTAAGTCTCTCACCTTCTTCAGATTTTTGCTCAAATTATTAATACCAACAATAATAGGTTCAGGTTCTACAGGTAGAGTAGATCACGCTTGGAATCCCAGCACTTGAGTAGGTCAAGGCAAGTGGATCACTTGAGCTCTGGAGCTCAAGACCACCCTGAGCAAAACTGAGACCTCTGTCTCCACTAAAAATAGAAAAATTAGCCGGGTGTCACGGTGGGTGTCTGTAGTCCAAGCTACTCAGGAGGCTAAGGCAAGAGGATCACTTGAGATCCCAACTGTGACATTGCTGTGAGCTACGATGATGCCACGACACTCCACCCAGGCAATAAAGAAAGACTCTGTCTCACGGAAAAAAAAAAATAAAATAAAATTACAACTGCACACACTGAGCCCAGCATTCCTTACTCCCTCTCCATTATTATCATTATTATTATTATTATTACTGAGATAGAGTGTCACTTTGTCACTCTGGGTAGCTGTTGTGGTGTCACAGTCACAGCAACCTCAAACTCCTGGGCTCAAGTGATTCTCTTGCCTCAGTCTCCCAAGTTGCTGGGACTACAGGCGCCCACCACAACACCTGGCTATTTTTTTATTTTTATTGTAGGTATCACTGTTGCTAGCAGGCCCAGGCTGCCAGCCCTGGTGGGCGTATGTGGCTGGTGCCATAACCACTGAGCTACAGGTGTCGAGCCTACCCCCTTTTATTTTCAAACAAATCCTAGTTACTACTATTAGTTCCATTTTATAGATAAAGTGACATGTGGAAGATCATACAGCTAGATGTAAGGGAGCTAAAATTCAAAGCCAGACAGTGAGGCTCCAGAGTCTAAACTCTCAATGACTATACTACACAACCTAGTCACTACCCTGATCACTTAACTGCAGAGTGGATTACTGAATTTTCTCATGTGACTGTCCTATGATCATTTCAAAATAAAAAGGTTCAAAAGAAAAATTATCATTTCCTTCTGAAAAAGATTTTCTTTTTCAATGTTCCTAAACTTAGTCAACAGAATATTTTCTCAGGTATAAAATGCTATCTATTTCATCTTTTACATTTTTTTGTACCTGTTTCCTCCTTTCTATTCTTAAGTGTTACAAAGCTCCTCACAAGTAGGATTTCATCAATAGTAATACTGCCTATTCAGTGTATCCCTTGGATACATCATGCAAAGAGTGACTTTTTTCTTTTGAGACAGAGTCTCACTCTATTGCAAAGGCTGGAATGCTGTGCTGTCAGCTTAGCTCACAGCAACCTCACATTACTGGGTTCAAGCCATCTTCCTGCCTTAGCCTCCTGAATAGCTGAGACTACCAGTGCCCACCACAAAGGCCAGCTATTTTTTTCTACTTTTAGTAGCGACAGGGTCTTGGTCTTGCTCAGGCAGGTTTCAAACTCCTAAGCTCAGGTGGCCCTCCCACTGGGACTCCCACAGTGCTAGGATTACGAGTGTGAGCCACTGCGCACAGCCTAGAGTGACTCCTATTAGATACCTCTCATGGCATTACTCTTTGTTCAGTGCCTCTTTAATTTCTACCAATTCAACTCAAAAGTTCTTAATCTGACCCCACACTTTGCAAATAGTTTTCATTTCCTTCTGAATACTTAAATTTTGCTCCTGTCAGTCTCGTTTATTCCCTTTTACAATGTCTATTTATTTTAATTACATGACTGCAATTGTTCTCTTCTATGTATCAACAATCCTTCAAGATTCAGAATCAAGTGCTCCTTCCTCAAATAAAGATTTCAGCCATCTTTCTACCTCTCTTCTCTAAATTTTAACAACCTTATTGGAGAATACATTTTATAATATCTTCCATTTGCTTGACAAATATTCCTTGTATTAGTGTCACCTTTAGCTTTTAAAGGGAAGGGACTGGCTCGGTGCCCGTAGCTCAGCGGTTAGGGTGCCAGCCACATACACTGGGGCTGGCAGGTTTGAACCCAGCCTTAGGCTGCCAAACAACAATGACAACTACAACAAAAAAAATAGCCGGGCATTGTGGTGGATGCCTGTAGTCCCAGCTACTTGGGAGGCTGAGGCAAGAGAATTGCTTAAGCCCAAGAGTTTGAGGTTGCTATGAGCTGTGATGCTATGGCCCTCTACCGAGGGCGACATAGTAAGACTCTATCTCAAAAAAAAAAAAAAAAAAAAAGAGAGACAGAGAGAGAGACCCAATAAAGTCTTGTTGATAAACGACTTTTAAGTCGTCAAAGAAATCATGTTTAGTTTATGCATTCTCTGCTTTTCCTTGGTAACTAGTCTCCAGGTAAATAATGCTTCACCTAATAATTGTCACTCTCTTCCTTGTTTTATTCTTTCTGATCTCATCTCATACTAAATAGAGAATTCTTAAGTGCAGTAGAACCTCGATTGTGACAAATGGGTCAACATACAGAAGCGGTCAACATTAAGAAACTAAGCCTGCTGTACTGATACGTATATACAGTACATGTCCACTCTATGAGAATTAAGTCAAATGAAGGAAGTAGTTGTTGTAGGGAGGTAGTCAACTATAGGGGTTCTAGTGTATCTGTCCCCAAAACTTTTAAGTTCTCTAAAGCCAGGTAGATGCCACCCCTCACCTGGTCTTCTCTTCTCTTTGGTCATGAGCTGCTGAACCTTTCTTTGTTCTTCTTGTTCTTCTATTTTAGCCTCTTTGTGAATCTGTTCAATAGTTTTAGGCCCTTGGTCTGCTCTTCGAGATACCCAATTACACTATAAATGTAGAAAATGAGGTTATAAGCCAGATAGCCAAACAAAAAAGTAAATTAAAAATCTTTATTTTCACTGCTGGAAAACCAAAAAAAAAAAACCCTATAAAATCTGCAGTTATGAAAGTTTTTCATATGTCTTATAGATGGCACTGTGAGTAGTTTGAGGATTCAAGCTAAACAGCCAATGGATGAAAACAACAGAATTAAAGACTAGCCCAAATGTATATGTACTTAGCATGGCATATCCTTCTCCATGGCCTGAATTCATTGTATGATCATTCTGTACATTTGAAAGAAGTAAACGGAAGATGAATCAACAAGGATAAGAATCTGTATTAGTACACAGATCATGTCACATTCCAGAGAAGTTCTAAATTAAGGATGACTTGCATTGTTTCCCCTCCAGTATCACGGTTCTTTTATCCTACACAAAATGCTACACAACTTTGACCACTGGTTACCTTCTCTACTACAGACAAAAATAAGTTGTCTTCTTATAATTATACTTTTCCTTTCCCTTCCTAGGTACAGTCCCAACATCTGATATAAGTACAAGTGGTTGAAGCCTTAGGTAGAAAAGTTTTTTATATTTATACTAGCTGATGGCAAACAGATTTTAACCAGCATGCAAATTCTGATCAACTGGTGGTGGCTTTGGTAAGAAGAATCTTAAGATCACGTCTGGACTTGGCAGGATAAAGAACTATTGTCTATGTTATCTGTCGTGGATATAAGATAAGGAAGAGTAGAGGCTTTTCACTTTCTCTAGTTTACAGCAGGCATATTTCCTTTAGGAGTTAAACTAAGAAAACAGAAAAGAAGTGGTAATGGTAAGAACCATACCTCGTACGAGAAATGAGGGGAAAAAAAGTAGCAGAACTACTAGAAAAATAACAAGGAAAAACACCAATATCTCTAAGCTATTAAATATAAAAGATGATTACACTGAATCTTTACAACAAATCTGCATGGTAGGCAATATCCACAGAAATTAATGATATTTATTTCAGAAATTAAAACCCTAAGGTTTAGGGAGATTAAACATATTCATTGCAGATATGAGACTTTCTGATCTATTATGCTTAGAAAGACTAAATTTAATTGACCATAATTTGAGTTCACAGTGTCTGATTTCAAAACTGCAACGTGGTTTGATAATCAGAGTGAAGTAGAAATAAGTAATAGGCAACAGGCCTTCGGTCCTTTCACACAACTCTGACAAGTTTGCCAATTTGAGTTCTGGGAGTCCTGAAGCTTTTGCATCAAGCATTAAGTTCAGGCACAGAGCATTAGTTTTTATACATGTAAACAAAAGGCTACCCTTTCCCAAACCAATTCCTTAAAAGAGACTGAAGAGACTGGACCATCAGACTTTCCCTTCCTTACTCACCAGCCTTAGATCTATCACATCTTGTAGCATGAATCGAATCCTAGATGAGGTTTTTCTTTCTTTCACAATTTTCTCCATCTGATTAAAGTACTGATCCATGCGTGGCTGCAAGAGACAAAATCATTCATATTCCTGGCTAACAAATTCAAACGTAATTTTACCATGTAGAATTTTTAAACAGTTAGGAATATCAATTTATAGCCCAAAGGTAATGCTGTAAAATTTTTGGTTAAGCATAGGACTCAAAATAAGACTCAAAATAAAAACTACCCTTTCCAGGCTCCCAGGTGACTAGCTTGGTCATGTGATTAATTATAGGCCAGAATATAAAAGGACATGTTATACTGCAGCTCTCTGGAATATTCCTCACAAGAGAGGTGGCTCTGTCCTTTGCCCCTTTTTCCACCTTCTGTGGAGAGAATGATTAGGACAAGAGTTACACCCGATGAATGCTAGAATGTTAAGCTGGAAGGCCTGACCTCTGAACTTTGTGTACATTAAGTGAGAAAGAAACTTCAATCTTGTATAAACTACTGGGTTTTCTGTCACAGTCAAACAAATCCCAGTGGATTTGTTGTTACAGAGTACCTCTGTCATCATCATGATCAACATCATTATTTTCTTTTTTTAGAGACAAAGTCCCATTATGTTGCTCCCGGTAGAGTGCTGTGGTGTCACAACTCATAGCAAGCTCAAACTCTTGGGCTTAAGCGATTCTCTTGCCTCAGCCTCTCAAGTACCTGAGACTATAGGCGCCTGCCACAACGCCCAACTATTTTTGGCAGTTGTCATTGTTGTTTAGCAGGCCTAGGCTAAACAGCCCACCAGCCTCAGTGTATGTGGCCAGTGCCCTACCCACTACAGGGGTCACCTGTTCTGTCATTATTTCTTTTTTTTTGAGACAGAGCCTCAAGCTGTCCCCCTGGGTAGAGTGCCGTGGCATTACAGCTCACAGCAACCT